TATATATATATATATATATATATATTTTTTTTTTTTAAACATCCTAATCTATAGTGATCAACTTGTTTCCTCCATTATTTAGCAGGTTCATTAAAAAGTGAAAAAAATGTCTGGAAATATCTGCTTGAACAATCTGTTCAAAAGTGTGCCATTGTGTATTTGTGTTGACTACTCACTCTTTTTTTTTTTTGCACCCTCTGGTTCATTTTGGATAATTGGATGTTCCTCCAGACTCCTTCGGCGGCTCTGTGAAGGAGGCACAGAGCTCTGCTCCTGGGGGACCTGGAGGCGACCTACTGGGAGGTACAACTGTTTTCGGTTACACAATATTAATATAGACTGTCGGCAGCAGGCCAGTGCGCGACCAGTGAAAATCTGTGAATAATTAACTACCATTATCATTGCACTGAAAGAAAAAAAAAAGGGTTTTGTGGGGGGGGGGGATGCCACAAAAATCTTGAGTAAGTAGTCCAAAAATTAAAAAAATACTCAGCGAATAAGTAAATCTGACGATGCTAAACCCCAAGTATGCTTGAAAATGGATAAATGGGGGTGCCTTGAGATACGAGACCTAGCCCATCGCTTAAAACACTTGTATGTCAACATCTCATCATTTCTCCCCCCTTAAAATGAATGGGAATGCCAATTGTAATCACTAAAATAGTACTGTAGAATATTTTATTGTTACTTTATAACAGCATATAGTCATGACACAATTGAATAGAATGTATAAAAAATGAACAGTGTGCACGTCCTGATTGATTCAGTGTGCCTGCTTTTAGTGTGCACAAGAGTACAGTAATGGAGACACGAACGAAGAACGCTACTCGAAGTGACTCAGTAATCTGCAATTATACTCGTTCACGTGGGCAAATGAAGAACATATGCCTGTGGATATTGTTGTATCGTTTCTCTACGTCTGTTGCTGCACCACTGATAATAATAATAATTATAAGAAGAATACCCATTCCTTAAAGTGTGATAGCATCACCACATATTAGCTATTTGTTAGCAAATCTAGTGAATTTCCCATTATGCATTAGCATTAAGCTAGCAGAGTGATTGGCTACGACTCCTCTAATGTGTACACTACCTGTACTTCACTAGAAGTCAGCTGGCTCAAGTACGAGCCTAATGAAGACCAGCAGCATAGAAAATGGATGGATGGATGTTATTGCAAATAGTGGTCACAGTTCTGTCTGTCTGTTCATTAGACCTCATGTCCCCAACCCTGGCACCCACCGTGGCCCCGGCCCTGGCTCCAGCCTTGGCTCCAGCTCCAGTGCAGAATGATCTTCTTGAGTCGGGATTTGAAGCTCTGGGTTCACTTCCCTCTCCGACGCCACCTGTGCCAGCTGTACCAATGATACCTGCCACAGCGGAACCTGCAAAAAACACACTGGCGCACTCTGGTGGCTTTGATGCTTCAAGTAAGTGGCATTTAAAGTTTTTAATTAATGTCTGGAATGGTAGTTGCTTAAAAAAAGGTGGTGTAAACCTTTCGAAGATATCGCTTAAACATTCTTGCTTGATTACTAGTAGATGTAAAAGTGTATTGTACAATGAAACGGAGCAATTTGAGCGTGAGTCAAAGGTTGCTGCACTTATTGCTGAGAGCTTGTCTGGTGCATGGATGACACAGTGTGACGTGTTGCCACGACTGTGACCGCTTAAGTTCTCGCCATGGCTCTGTCTCTATGATTGATCTGATTTCTCTCTTATCTTGTTTCAATGTCACACATGCTGCTGACCGCTTAAGTTCTCACCATGGCTCTGTCTCTATGATTGATCTGATTTCTCTCTTATCTTGTTTCAATGTCACACATGCTCTGCTGTCTTGTGCTTCATACACACACGCTCTATTTTGCTCCACCCACTCTCCCCCACCTTCTTTATCTTCACCCCTTTCTCTCTGCTGGCTTCCTCTTGCTTGCTTCTTCTAATGTGTAATTGGTGAGTTGAACTCCACGGTGCATTGCAGCATCTGCACTTTTTGAAGTCTGCCTCTTCTTTTAGACAATATGCATGTTTAAAATGTAATCATAATCCCTTAGTATCTCCTGCATGAGACAAAATAAACTGCGTTCAGGAATTATTATCCCCCAGTCATCTCTAGTGTTGGTTTTTATCCAAATGCCATTAAAGATGCAGATGATAGTGATGTTGCATGATAACATTGCAATTAATTGGGCACCATATATTGCAATGATTATAATGAGCAAAATTAAATAGTTCATCTTGCAGATCATATTGCCTGTTATAGTAATCATAAGATCTGTGGAGCAGATGATCCTACAATATTGTTTGTTTGCTCTTTATTTTAAAATTAAGCATCATTTTTTTACTGACGGTGACAAGCAAAGGGAAACCGCGTTGGTTTTTTTCCAAATGCCATTAAAGATGCAGACGATAGTTATGTTGCATGATAACATTGCAATGAATTGGGCACCATATATTGCAATGATTATAATGAGCAATTCCAAATAGTTCATCTTGCAGATCATATTGCCTGTTATAGTAATCATAAGATCTGTGGAGCAGATAATCCTACAATATTTGTATTAAGTTTGTTTGCTCTTTATTTTAAAATTAAGCATAATTTTTTTACTGACGGTGACAAGCAAAGGGAAACCGTATTCTACATGGAAGGAACATATGGGGACACCTGGTTGGAAATCAGTGCTCGATGTAACAATAAATAAATAAATAAATACATCTTGAGGTGTACATGTTGCCAATGTGTAATCCTACAATATTTGTATTAAGTTTGTTTGCTCTTTATTTTAAAATTAAGCATAATTTTTTTACTGACGGTGACAAGCAAAGGGAAACCGTATTCTACATGGAAGGAACATATGGGGACACCTGGTTGGAAATGAGTGCTCAACGTAACAATAAATAAATAAGTAAATACATCTTGAGGTGTACATGTTGCCAATGTGTTGCTGTTGCACCCCCTTTGAATCTTCAAATGTGGTCCTACTCTTTGTACCTCTTCAACATTGCTCTTGAAGCTGGATTGTTTCCCTCACCTTATACTGTCGGGTTTGACATCTGCCCATTGCTTGCATTCTAGATAGATCGGGGATTAACAGACATGTAATCTGGAGTGTTTTTTTTTTAATGTCATGCCTTTCCCACCCTCTCTTCAAGTGTTTGATGGATTAGGTGACTTGCTGATGCCCGCCGTTACGCCGCAGAGCACCGGGGGAAGCACGACAGGAAGTGCAGCGGGGAGCATGGGAACTCCCGTCACAGTTGAAAACATTGCAGCTGCTCCACCTGCAACCCCGCCCCCAACCAAAACCGTTGCAGGGGATCTTGACTCTTCATTGGCCAACCTCGTTGGAGGTAAATTTGTTGTCTGGTGCTACCCATTGCTGATTTCCATGAACGCTAACGTTCCATTTCTTCTTTTCTTTCTCCCTTTAGACCTGGGAGTGAAGAAAAAGTAAGTATGCTCATTGCGTCGATGGTGAATCAGTGTAGCATTTATTCATTTGTTACTAAAAATGAAATAATCTTTTATTTTCTCAACATTGGTTGAAAAAAAAAAAACAAAGAAAAAGGAGAAAAAAAATTGATCATGGCCGATTTGGACGTTTCATTAAATTCGGATGTTGTCATATGACACAAGTTGCAGTTACCAATATATATACACTGTATACTGTTTACACATACACTGTCTATATTCTCTCTGCTGGCTTCCTCTTGCTTGCTTCTTCTAATGTGTAATTGGTGAGTTGAACTCCACGGTGCATTGCAGCATCTGCACTTTTTGAAGTCTGCCTCTTCTTTTAGACAATATGCATGTTTAAAATGTAATCATAATCCCTTAGTATCTCCTGCATGAGACAAAATAAACTGCGTTCAGGAATTATTATCCCCCAGTCATCTCTAGCGTTGGTTTTTTTCCAAATGCCATTAAAGATGCAGACGATAGTTATGTTGCATGATAACATTGCAATGAATTGGGCACCATATATTGCAATGATTATAATGAGCAAAATTAAATAGTTCATCTTGCAGATCATATTGCCTGTTATAGTAATCATAAGATCTGTGGAGCAGATAATCCTACAATATTTGTATTAAGTTTGTTTGCTCTTTATTTTAAAATTAAGCATAATTTTTTTACTGACGGTGACAAGCAAAGGGAAACCGTATTCTACATGGAAGGAACATATGGGGACACCTGGTTGGAAATGAGTGCTCAACGTAACAATAAATAAATAAGTAAATACATCTTGAGGTGTACATGTTGCCAATGTGTTGCTGTTGCACCCCCTTTGAATCTTCAAATGTGGTCCTACTCTTTGTACCTCTTCAACATTGCTCTTGAAGCTGGATTGTTTCCCTCACCTTATACTGTCGGGTTTGACATCTGCCCATTGCTTGCATTCTAGATAGATCGGGGATTAACAGACATGTAATCTGGAGTGTTTTTTTTTTTAATGTCATGCCTTTCCCACCCTCTCTTCAAGTGTTTGATGGATTAGGTGACTTGCTGATGCCCGCCGTTACGCCGCAGAGCACCGGGGGAAGCACGACAGGAAGTGCAGCGGGGAGCATGGGAACTCCCGTCACAGTTGAAAACATTGCAGCTGCTCCACCTGCAACCCCGCCCCCAACCAAAACCGTTGCAGGGGATCTTGACTCTTCATTGGCCAACCTCGTTGGAGGTAAATTTGTTGTCTGGTGCTACCCATTGCTGATTTCCATGAACGCTAACGTTCCATTTCTTCTTTTCTTTCTCCCTTTAGACCTGGGAGTGAAGAAAAAGTAAGTATGCTCATTGCGTCGATGGTGAATCAGTGTAGCATTTATTCATTTGTTACTAAAAATGAAATAATCTTTTATTTTCTCAACATTGGTTGAAAAAAAAAAACAAAGAAAAAGGAGAAAAAAAATTGATCATGGCCGATTTGGACGTTTCATTAAATTCGGATGTTGTCATATGACACAAGTTGCAGTTACCAATATATATACACTGTATACTGTTTACACATACACTGTCTATATTTAAAACATTAAAAAAAATTATACAATACTGTACACCACAATCAAAAGAAAATAAAATGAAATAAGGTAATTGTGGAGGAAGAAGCAGAGGTGTGTGGAGGCATTGAGGGGAGAATGCTGAGGTGGCAGGGATTGACCATTGACCGAGTTACACCATCGGAATGTGCAACCCATCTTCTCAACACTGTCCAACTTTTTGACAATGGCAACCTTTGTTCCCATGGAAATTGCCGACTAATCTACTAATAATCTTCCTGTAGAGACCCACAGAGTGAGAAGAAGTTGACTGGAGGAGCCAACTGGACCCCTCATGTGGCCCCCACAAGCTGGACCACACCAGGTGTCCCCATGGTGAGAATAGCTTTGGATTTCTACAGTCAAACCTCATACCCCATCCATACATGTAGGGGGCGACCTAACTACACGTGTTCTTTGACAAAATATGAATTTCCAACCAGGCTGGTGTGGCTCCTGGCGGACCTGGAGCAGCGCCTCCTAGTGGAGCAATGGTGCCACCAATGAGTGCACAGCCTGGTTTTGGCATGGTGAGGAAAGTTACTCACACACGGTACCTAAATAGAAATACGGATAAATACGGTACTCCTCGTTAAAAAAAATGATTTGATCCACCTCACCCCGCCCACTTCCGCTTCAGCATTCCAAGTGGCGAGCACCAGCCGCGTGTTATGCTTTGACCAGGATATGTGACAGATTTCTTACCTTCTAGGCTTCTACTCAATACCAACACATATTTATCATTTGGTCAGTGCTTTTAGTGCACCGGTACGCACCAGTATGGAGTACAGGTACCAGCGCTCTTCAATTTTAGCATGTAGCGTGCCAGGATTTCCGAACCCAGAGTACCCTCTCTTGTACTGTGTTTCTCTTGCGCTTAGTGATACTCATACCCCTTTGGCTACACTGTACTGCATTATCCCGTATGCACTGGTACATGCCACACGCCTGTCCCTCACGAGGCGGTCTTGCGAGTCAAGTGTAAGTACATGAATTTGTGTTCAGCCTGCTGCAGGAGGGCCAGGAGCTCCCATGATGCAGCCCATGATGGGTCAGCCTATAATGGGTCAGTCCATGATGAGACCTCCCTTCTCTGGCGTGGTTGGAGCTGCACCGGGAGGAGCTACGGCACCAGTAGCGCCTGTAAGAGCACACACACTGTGGAACTTCTTCTGTCAAACATGAATGTTTGGATTTCACTCTTCAGTATCAAACCAGCAGGTCTCATCATGTCTTTGCGTGCATATGGAGTACACAGAGTAATATCAACACTATTGTCCATTTTTGTACATAATTTTACCCATTATTCTATGACTGGTCAACTTATGCCTTGGGTACATGTGTATTTTTTTATTCTGTATGTTTTTTAAAGCTTTCTCCTGGACCTGCAAGCCAGAGTCCCAAAAAGCCCAAGGATCCGCTGGCAGAGCTCGACCTTAAGGACTTCTTATAACACAAATGAAAGGAGGGTATGTTGCAGTCTGTATTAAGAAAGTGACATTTTAAAGTAGACTGAAAGAGTCATGAAGATTTTTATCTCTCAGACGTACCACTGTCTTAATAAGAATTGGCAGCAATTACAACACAAAATCAGGTCTGGAAAAGTTCGTATTAGCTCTGAATATCGTCAGCCACCTCGCAGAATTGCCTTAGTCATATTTCAGTGTTATCAGAACACAAGAAAAAAATAGTTTTGGAAAACACATTTTTCATTGATATCATAACAAAACACAACATAACCTAATCAAAGTCTTGCTCTCCTAAGTGTAACCAAGATCTGTAATTTGTCAACATTAACCAAGTTGTTTCTTCATGTTCAACCTTAAGCGGTTTTCCTTTCCCACCCTTAAGAAGATACTTGATCCGGTTGAACATTGGCACTTAAAAAAAAAAAAAAATCAGGCAAAAATGATGTCATCACTTGGAAAAACTCTCTTAACGATGCCCAGTTTTTTATGGGCCTGGCCTGCTTTTTGAAAATATTTCTGGAAATGCCGTATGTACTGCATATAAGAGCACTCTGGAAAATATACTGTCCTATAATTATTTCTTTGAATAAGATAATGAGGGCAGACTATCCTGTCTTGCAGACACAGATATTTTTCTCAACAGTCGGAATGCGCCCATCGTTTACCCGACATCTGTCAAGATTCCAGGATGCCAATGGCCCTGCCATTCTCTCTCCGTTGTCTCCTTCTCGACATGATAAGAGCCTCTCTCATCCATCTATGTTCTGTTTCCTTCTCCTGTGTGATGTTGTAGCACAAACTGTGAAAGTGAACCATAGCGGATTATAAACAGTATACAAATAAATATGAGAAAAAGAATTCCAAGTGCGTGCTCATGTAGGTGTTCTCAACTTTTTGTCTCAAGCAAAATCTCCTAAAAAAAAAAAAAAAAAAAAATCTGAAAATGTTTTTGAATGAAAGTGAAGGCGTATGTGATTAGATTTATTTTATGGTTGTATTTTGGTGTCCTAAGTTCCACCTGGTCTTGTCCCCTGCCTCCTTGTAAAGGGGGAGGAGCCCTTCTTTGTTCCGCTCTAATTGGGTGAGCCAGCTTAATTCAGTCCCTGTAATTTTTCAGAACTATATTGTGTCCTGTTTACAAAAAAGGTCCTAATGGGTGTACATAGACACCACTGGTGTGTTTGACAATTACGTACCTATTCAGTACTGTATGTCTGTTGAAGAGAACTATCAATGTGAATCTGACATGAAATCGTGAGGAGTAATGTGAGTGTCATTCTGTCATCATCTGGAAAAAAAAGATAAATTGTATATTATGAAATTAATTGTGTGGGCTTTGGAGACATTGAAACATCTAACTGAGGCTCTGTGTTTCTTATTATTTGTGTCTTATTTTTCCATGTTACTAGTTTGTGTCAGTTGTCTCATCTTAAATGATGTCCGGCCCAAGTAATGCAAGGCTACTGTTAATGATGATCTGTTTTGCTAGTGGAGGACAAATCTTACATCCAAAAGCTTTCGTTATTTATCATGGAAACACATTTTAACTCTGCCCCTCAATGAAACAATTACACTTTTTATTGCTTGCAGTGTATTTTTTTTTTAATCCCGTTTGTGCAGACCAATAAATTCAATAGGAGCCAAATAAAACCTTTCAAATTTTTTTAAGAACAGATGGCATGGATCCAAAACTCTGGACAGTCTTGTATGATGGAACAGTTATCATTTAAACAAGTGATCTGCTTTTGTGTTTGACTGCCCAAATTCTCAATCTCTGGATATGAACAAGTATTTTTAACTGCTTACTGCAATTTGCTGAATTCTCTTCTTTGGCATCAAGGATTTGTAGTGTCCCAGACTGTAACATTTTGATCCACGTTGTCTTTTGTTAGAGTGTTTGTTTTGTGCATTGACCTGGTTTTGGACTACATGCTATTTGCATTAGAGATACAGTCATATATCTCCTATGTCATTCAAACGGACTGTTTAAAATGTAAGATTGTACAAAAGAGATCACATTAAACATTTTCATGGATGAGTTACAAGAATTTTATTTTTGTTTAATTTATTTTGTGTATGATGTCGCTTCCCAGTGCATGTAAGCCCTCTGAGATGCAATAAACAACGGATTGAACTGCATATTGCCCCCCTCATTTCTGTCTTATTAACTTACATATGTATCTGCTGTGATATTTTTTTTAAAAGAGCGGTTGTCGGGAAATTGATTTAGGGGATTATAGCGTTTCAATAGAGTACTTGAATCATGATATGGAAGTCAAATGTAATTCCACTATTAATCCAGTAGAGCTACTGCATGATTATTGACACTGTGTCGTTCAGTTGACGTTAATATAATGATTAAACACTATTCAAGCGGAAACTGTGCCCTGGCGACCAAGCCAGGGTGTACCCAACCTTTTGCCCAAAGGCAGATGGAATAGACTTCTTGACATTTTTTTTAATTACAAATGAGATAATGGATGGATGGCTACAAATATTGTTTAGTGATGAATAATACAGTATCTATATAATATATATCACCAGTCATATAAATCACCAGCCTTGTCTGCCACATGCACTCCTGGAAGTTTTCTTATGGGATCCCGTGTGATACCGTCATTACGGCCATCTTGATGTTACCCACGTCTTCAAAACACATGCCCTTAATGGCCCCCTTTGACCTTGGGAAAGAGGAAATAAATCACACAGAGCCAGGTCGGGTGAATAGGGAGCTTGATCCAGCATAACCATGTTATTCTCAGCCAGGAAGTGTCAGATGCTCAGGCCATTGTGGGCAGGTGCATTGTCATGGCGAATAAGGCACCAGAGGCCGTGCCACAACTTTCGCCTCACTGAACGACATGGGCGTCATTAGGCCTATTTTAGGGAGGCTTCAGCCTCCCTAAAAATGTCTTTAGCCCCCCTAAATAATTTCATTGCATTATTTTAAAAAAAGTATGATTTATTTTTCCTGTACTTTTGCTAATATATTGCATCAAATTCAACGTAATGTGGCCATTTTAAATTATATTTCGATAACCTGCCATTATTGTAATGTTAAATCTCCCAGGTTTCCTGAACGCAACAGGTGTTGCGTTTGCATTTGACGTGTCTGTCACCATCGCCACATCAAATGCTAACGCAACAACTGACAGTTCATTGCCGACAGTCAGGTTGAGTCGACAGCATGGATATTCGACAGTTTTTTAGAAAGGTAAATTAAGTATTCAATGCATCCATGCTGGTAAAACTAGTGACTATAGTCCGCTAAAATATCTCCAGTAACAGCAGAAACTGCACTGTAACAAGTGTTCACTTTTGGATAAATTAAGGTGGTGCTTAATAAAAATTAAGCAACATTTTATAATTAACTACATAAATAATCATTACACCAACTCTTTGAGGCAACACCTATTGAGATTTTGGCCTATATAAAATAAAAAAATAAATATAAAATCAATTTATTTATTTGATAGGAATCAGGCTAAAGACGCACAGAGAGTGAGCCGGGGGGAGCTCTGCTGGACAGGTGAGTCTATCAGATCTCAAGGCTAATTTTACTTGCAAGGCTGTTCCCAAAATGCAATCGGAGCTTACAGTAAGTATTGAGCAGCCAACTTTTGTTTTTCCAAAGTGATGAAGCTTTTGCATCTCATTGTACTAACTTAAATTTCATATCACGGCAGACATCTCAAGCCAAGCTTATACAAATCAACACTCCTCACAACCAACCAATAATGGGGTGCATGAAAATAACAATTATTCACTTTGCCAGTACACAGCAAATAATGAGAGGTATTGTGTTGAGGCACAGGAACTCTTTTATTTTGTTAAGTTGTGCCTGCTTAATAATAGAAATAGCCCTTTTAGGGAAATAAGACAATTTTTACTTTAACTTTGTTAAACAGTAGTTGTCTTTTTTTCCCTTAATTTAACAAAACAATTGAACAAAATACTAATTTTACCAAAATAAATACTAAACATGAAAACAAAAATATCCTTTTCATTTGTACAATTCCCCTTTTCACATCCCCTCTGAAATCACTGAAAAATACAGTATATCAGAAGAGGAGTTAAGAACCATTTTAAAAACTGACACAAGGGAGCACAGGAATGTGCAGTGCTGTTCTTCCACTAAAGGTGAATGCAATGTTTGAGGCATGCAAATATTATTGAGGACGCCATTGTGATGTTCGTTTACCATGTTGCGGTGTTCTGCTGTTAAACAGCTGCAAAGATCCCCGGGTAGACGGGAGCAAAACTGCACACAATCGAAACCTCCCGCGATTCGTCTTGTCTAATTGTCTGTGTGCAGCTCTCCTGGACTGAAGCTGTGAGCACAACTGTGGCGTCGCGCATGCGTCTGTTTCCTGACACAATCATCCATTTTGAATGCGTGTGTGTTGGGATAGACGCGTGCTGACGCTTATGTATGGGCACACCTTAAGTTCAGAGGAGCCAATCAGCGCATCGTTATCGCCGACATGCCCTGCTCAGCCAGAGTCTCCAGTTAGTCAAACATTATACAACACACAGTCGCGCTGCTGCGGTCTTCTGCAATACATCTGTTAGTGCACGCAAAGAATAAAACGGATAATTTTAACAAGCCATCGCGGTAATGCGCAGATTATAGTCCACAAATATAAAATGTATAGCGTAAAAATCACTTTATAATTTATTATTTTATACAATTTGCCGAGGGTCCGGACAGAGGAGGTCCGGACAGAGGAGGTCGGCGGTCCGGTCGTGGATC